GACTTTTACTGCAGACTCTGACAATCCCCAGGGCCGTCTCCAGCTGACGGCGTTTGATATCAAAAGCGATAGACACAGGACATAAGAGGTAACAGGTCGGTATTTAGGCTGATTCTTCCTGCAAGAAGTTTTGATAGAAAACACACAACACACACGTACTCACACACAAAATCTTCCTCTGAAATACTTTTACTCGAAAAGGCCTTGCTTCCCACGGGACGCTTTAAGCCAGTTCTAAACAGGAACATTTGTTTCCAAGCTGACAAACATTTGGGGGTTATTACCTTACCACTGTTTCCCTTTTTCACGGTTTAAAAACCTGGAACAAAACAATATTTTCAAGCCAATTCCGAAGCATATCTTTTGGTTAAAAATCCTGGGGGGTGCGCAGAAACTTTCAGCAGAATTGACATTCTCTCACCAAAAAAGTCTGGTTTCAACTAAACTGTTTGTCAGCCACAAAAGATGTTTCTGCCCCCAAAATTGTGAACAGCCATGCCTCCCAGCTGCATAACTAAGGCATGCTTAAATAGGATGTGGAGAACAGTTCTGACCACTACCCACTGGCAGATAATGATGATAAATCAGATAGTCACGCATGGTAAGAAAAGGAGTCTGAAAACACAGTAGCTGAGATCCCCTGCGAGACAGCATCAGCTATACCGCAGTAGTCCATTAGCCCTCTACCGCCACTCTGGAGAAGAGCTGAGCGTTTAATCCATGCTGTGAGCAGAGACGAGAGAGGTAAAACAAGATAAAGCAGAGATCTAGATAGTCTAGAGGAAACTTTGGCTTACTTAGGTAACTGGTTTGCAAAAGGCACAAACAGTAGTATTAACTACATTACTTTCCAATACGTCCAGGGTTTGCTATATACAGAGCAGGGAAAAAAGAGAGCCTGGAAGTAACCAAAATGAGTACAACCCAAATAAACCCTCAAGAAAGCAATATGCTTTGAGAACTAGAAAGGAGACCAATAATAATTCTGCCTGGGAATTTTCCGCCCGCAGCTCTTGACACAGTATGTCCTGTATAGAGGAGTCTCAGTGCTGGCCATTGCAACGCAGCCACCTCTGGAGTGCAACGTGGCGATGAAACAATGGCACGCAGCAATGCTAAACAGCTCAAGGCAAGAACAGCAGCACAGCACCCCAGCCAACAGCAACAGCAGGAAGCAATTATAGACCTTGGGATCCCACCGCAGCCCCAGAAGTGAAATATTTCTTCTGAAAAGCACCACAAAAACTTTAATGACCACAGGCGGTCAGGACTCAGGGCTCGTATCCCATCCAAGAATGCATGAGCTGCCTAGTTTAAATACTTATTATTATGACTCCCGTGGCTGTGTGTCTGACTGCCGCTTGCAATGACTGGCGTGTTAATACTCCCGATGCTCCTCTGGGCAAGGGGAGTATTATCTCCATTCTGCAGATGGAGAAGTGAGGCCCAGGGAGATGCTGTGGCATGCCCAAGGTCACACAAGAAGCCTGTGGCAATGCAAGCATCGAACCTGGGCCTCCTAGTCCTGCACTATTCTTTTTCTCTCATCTCACATGGCCAGCAGAGCCGCTGGATCCAGCAAGCAGAGCTAGGGGCTTTGGCAGTAAAGGGCTTTGCCCTCTTGTTTTCCTACAGGTCACTTTGCATTTTGCATCTTTCATTTATATCATCTTTGATTTTGCCTCACTCTCTTCCCTACCTCCCACCCCAGCATCCTTTATCTTAGTTTTCCCTTTTCTTTCTTCTCTGTTGTCTTGGTTACATGGCCAGACTCCCGATATGCTACTAGCTTTCATTTTAATGATACGTTCTTGTAAAGCACAATATTTTACTTCTATTGCATGTGTCATTGGATAAATTCCTTTGACATGTATAACATTTGTGTATCAACCAACTGATATTGCTTTATGGCTGTGGGTACTTTGCAGGGCTCTCACGAATGGTGTGCATCAAGAACATGATATATGTTCTGTGTCTTTCATATAAAAAAACATGCATGCACACTCATCAATAAAGTCTAGGCTGCAGAGAAAGAAGTCTACCCAAATAGTTTCTGCTTATACCTAGCAGGAAACCCTTTAGTATCAACAAATACATAAAGTTCATGCCTTCAAGACAAGCAAATGTATGGAAAAATCTGCAACAACCGTCAGGGCTGACCCAGAAGTGCACTGGCAGAGAGCAACCAGCCTGTTGCAGGGGAAATAGTAATGAACTACCATCGGGTGCATACACATGTACTAACTTTCTGAGAGTTAAGCCAACTTAACTTTTTAAGTTGACTTAACTGTCAGAGCATACACACGTATGTGGAGCAGAGTCGAATTAAATGCAGAGCAAGACAATGCACCTTCAAGATGTATTATCTTGAGTCACATTAGTTAAGTCAAATAAGTCAACAAGATCGCTGCCAGCATGTCAAGGAGCTGCATGTGTACACGTGCTGCTCCAACATGGCTTAAGTCACCTTGTTAAGTTGCCTTAGTACGTGTGAGAACACAATTGCTAGGACCCAGCAGGAACCAGACAATATCAAACCCCTGGCCATGGTGACATGATTGAGTATAATCTCTCGCAACAAACTGTTCCAGACCCATAGGAGGTATTTTCTTAACCAACATAATAATCTAACATTATACCAGCAAGATGGGCGAGCAGTTACAGCATCAATGGAAATATCCCTTTTAGCCTCTCCTCCTCCTCACTTCCTGATCCAGAACTCCAGTTGAATGTGAGAAACCTAAAAAGGTCCCAAAAACTGCCAGAAACCAGGCAAAAAACTGAAGCTCTCAGGAAAGTCTAATAGCAGGGCTGAGGCCTTGCAACGCAGGGGAACATCGTGTCTACACTAGCTCCCCAGCACTCGTGTCTGCTCCTGCTCACAAGAGCCAGTCCTAGAAATATGGTAGTGAAGATGATCCAGAGTAGGTCTCCAGCACTGTGGAGACTGAAATGTGAAGAGTGGCTGCATGGGCACCCGTGGATAAACTCCTCCACCATGTTTCAGGATTAGCAGCATGTGATCAGGAGCAGGTGGGCCGAGCGGGCTGGAGAGTGGGCTCTGCCATCCATGCCAGAGACGCAGGGTGATGCACCACTTTCCCAGATGAGGAGGGAAGGAGGCTGGTGTTCAAAGCTCAGAGGGGTCCCCAGGTGCAGGATGGAAAGGGATGCAAGCAGTAGCACCGACAGTTTTCCCAGCAATGGGGAACGTGAGATGAGAGGTATTCTTCAGGGATTGCTGGACCCATTTCAGAAAGCCTGATATTAGCCAAGCCAAAACCAAGCAAAGAGCACAACCCTAGACAACGGCAGCATGAGGAAAGCTGTCTCTCAAAGCCCACTCAGTCTGGCAATCCCAGCATTGCTCTCACACATCTACTCCCCATTAGCTACTGTAGGCAGAACATTGTTCAGATTTAGCAACCATGAATAAAACCACAGTTCTCCAAGGTTACCATCGGCAGTGCAGCTACTCATTCTTTACCCTGTAAGGACGTCTCTGGTCACCACTACACACAGTTAAAACCAAAGCCTTCCCAACCTGGATGTCCCTGTTTTCTGTTTTCTCCAGTAAAAAGGGATCAATTTCTAGAGCCCATCACAAACCTACAAAGGACAAAAGAAATGGGCTTGTGCCTTCATTTACTTTGCAAGATGCCTATGAAGGTCTCACAACGGGGAGGGATGCGTGCCTTATGTTTCAGAAAAAAATTGTGATTTGAGTCTCTTTGGTTTCCTGATGGACTCCATGCACAGCCAGGAAACTAGACCGTCCACGATGACATCAATGAGGATAGAAAGTACAACCTAGGGAAGGTAAGTCATAGGTGGTCACAACACCCCCCTGCAAACACACACTCTCCCTTCTTGCAGGCTGTTTTTCTTTGCAAAGGGAACTGAAAAGAAAGCAGCACAAGCTACAGCCCAAATCTCCAACCCCAGCACTGAGCTTCTGAGGCTCCCCCCTGAGGACCGCTCAGCCCACATCCTGCCTGGCCTCTTAGGGAGCATCATCCCCAGGAGTATCTTCATTATAGTCTGGAGCAGCAACAGTCCCACCTGCAACACACGCTGTTTCACAGCAGGAACATCCCTCGGGCCAAGTGTGCAGGCAAACACCAACAATGTTATGCAATGCTCTGGAGAGGGCACGGTGCCCATCTTTACCCTTGCAAGATCACGTGTACCAGGACTTGGTAGCTGAAGAACAAAATGCCTGCCAAAGCTACAGGTAAAGGTCCCTCAATCTCAGTTTTTGCCTTTTGAAGCCAAAGCTAATTGCCCCAAGTGACAAATTACAGCAGCTGTTGTAATATAAAGCTACAGCTAAGCCAGAGGCATGCACAGCTCACGTGGCAGGGCCAGAGTAACTTTGTGAACCAAGATATTCCAGAAAGGATATTTATTTATATTAAGTTGGCCATGGTTACCCAGTAAACACAATGCCTTTTACCATTCAAGCACAGCTCTTCTTTCTATTTTAGCATGAACGCCCAACCTGACCTAGATAGAGCAACCACAAAATCCACAGGCAGCTTGTGGCAAAGGCATATCTAGTCGCTCTGCTCCGATGAAGGAACATCTCCAAAACACGAGCTGTGTTTCTTAACAACCCCCACAACTCCAGTAAATTCTTTGTCCCCCAAAGCACTCTGCTATCTGACGATCAACCTCTCAACCAGACAGAGTCTGAACTTGAAAAAATTGCACTCGGATCAACATTGCGCCATTGCACAAGAACAGAGGTAGTGAGATCCAGGCTTTGCTTTCAAACTTGTCCATCTTCTGACAGACTCTGCCTAAAGAGAAGGTCTTTTCACTGGCATGCATCTGCCTACACCCTTTGTTGCAGTCTCACCACCAGCAAAACAATTGAACTGATGAAAAACCGTGCACCCGAGCTAGAAAACCACATTCCTACTCATCTCAAGACAGCTGGCCTCCAGAGGGACTAGCAACACCAAGTCAGGGAGAAGGCCAGGATGGGCCGAGCCTACCTTTTTCAATTTGCCATTCTTGGTGCCCACGAAAGCCAGCGAGTGGTTCTTGTAGACGTACGCGATCACCGACGTCATCCTGTCCCTGTCCTCGGTGAAGATAGGAAGGCCCCGCACCATCTCCGATACTCCCAGCGGAGCGTTCATATCCAGGCCGCAGAAATTGTCGTCGATTGTTAACAGCTGCAAACAGGAGGAGAGAGCGTGAGCGCGGGGTCACTGAACATAGACACTGCTACAGACCACGGCTGTGCCGGGCACCGTACAAAACCGTAGGAGGAGATATTTCATGGCGAGACAGACTGACAGAAAGAAAGGAAACGGAGGCACGAAGAGGTGAATTGAGTTGCCCAACATCCAGAACCAGGGGCAGGACCTAGGTCCTTCCGAAACACAGCACCTCATCCAGTGGGCCAGCCTTTTCCTATCTTTATGTCATTTCAGAGCTAATAAGACCCCCATCACCACAAATGTCAGCTCACCCATCCCCGGTGTGTGCCCACGAATCCCAAAAAAGGGGCTCCTGGCCTCTACTCCCCCTCTGCCAGAAATCTTGGTCAAGCCATTGACGCTCCCCGACTCTTGGTTTTCTCAGGAGGAGATTACGAATGCTTAGCTACCCCACGGAGGATTGTGAGGATGAAGTCATTAGAGGCCAGATCCTATTCCACTGATCAGGCATCTGATCTGCCTTTCTCAAGCCCTTGACAATCACTTGTTTCTGTACCCACGCCATCAACTCGGCCTTCATGCTTGAATCACAGAAAGCAGCAAGCAAGAGGGTGCACCCATTTGCTGCAGTCACCAGTTTCTCAGGGGCTCGACCAGGTTGGAATAGGATCATGCAAATAGGAAGAGTAGGAGCTGGCACTAAGGGTTTCATTCCCCTTGAGTCCTCTGGAGGGAAAACTCATGACTGCTGTGACCTGTGCAAGGGCCTCCTGTTTGTGGGGGGACATATGAAAAGTCCCAACAGCTTGATTAACTGAACATACATGCTAAGATCTACTGGGTCACCACGTTCCCAGTCCTCCACTTGAACTCGTTTGGACTGCCAACAAAGAGGTCTTTGGTGGTGGAGCTCTGTCTGCAAGGGCCCAGAATGGGCAGCCATCAGAGAACAGCATCCACTGTGCAGGATTTTGGTATAGCTATTGCCCAGGTTTCTTGGATAGTGTGCCATGCAGCTTCAGTGGAGCACGCTATCCAAGCGTATGCTACAGCAGCAGACAGCATCCTACCCTACCTCTAGGCAGCATGGCTCAGTAGGTAGAGCAGTGGACAGGGACTGTGTAGATCCCCTCCCATGAGAGAGGTCCTTTCCTTCAGTGCCAATAGGGGCAATGGAGGCTTTTAGAGCTCTGTCAGGGCTGCCACCGTGAAGTCTGAAATTGGTTGCCAGATACTACATAGCAAGAAGCATGAAGTCCTGGCTACAGCTCACATTTGCTAAGGCAGGGGCTGACTTCAGTAGGTCCATTAGATGCTTAAAGTTAGGCAGATGCTGAAGTATTTTACAGGGCCAAGACTTACAAGATGTAATTAAGTGCAAAGTTAGATTATATCATTTTTGTAGGGCAACTTTTGCCACCTTTGTGCCACCATAAAATTTGTCACAGCAGCGCAAAGCACAAGCAAACAGGCGTCCATACTCCTTGTTGGACCGCAAACTGCTGCCACACAAAAGTCCATACTCCTTGTCGCACCACAAACTGTTGCCACACAAAGGTGGTGTCAAATTGTGCTGCTGATTAGCAGAGGACATCAGTTTATTTTACGGAAAGAGAGCAAGGCAGCCCAGAACCCTGCAGCCTTCTCTATATACCCGACCCTATTTCAAAAGCATGCATGCCCATATAGTTTGCCTGTACATTTTGCTACAAAAAGAAAGATGCTTATCTTGCTGGGGTGATCTGACCCCAGATGACTTCCTGCCCCTGGGGCAGGGGGGCTGGACCCAATGATGTTGCAAGGTCCCTTCCAGCCCTAATGTCTATGAAATTTTTGCATTAAGGGAGATATGCTGATATCAAAAGAAGAAGATATTTTGCTATAAAAGGAAAAGAGCTGCCCTGACTTGTTGTGGAAGTCACAAGGCAAGGACCATGTCTTCCGAGGTCAATCTGTCCCCCTGGGAACGTGCTCTAGGAGCTTGTGGGGCCAGTTCTGCACACCCTGAAACTTCCCGCATAAAATAGGGTCCCTCAAGCCCTGGGAGTACCTGCCTGGCTTTCCCTGCTTAACAAGACGACCCCCATGTGTTGCAGCACAGCTGATCTGCTTCATTTGGCACCGTCTGCATCATTTCACTTCTACTCTTAGAGCAGTCACCTATGGCCACAACCACAATAGTCGCTTGGACTCCCATTCTCTCGCCTACGTAAGTAGCTTACAAACTGCTCCTCGCTTAAGCTCACAAGCAATATATGCCTCAAGTTGATCGGCTTTGTTCTCACCTGCAAATTAATGTGGGCAAAAGTTACAAGCATCTAAGATTCACGAGAGAAGGAGGCACTGGGAAGCTCTGGCCTGCGGGAATTGTTAGCATCTGAGCTATACCTTCAACACTAAAGCAGTAAGAAAACAATTACAGGCCAAAGCTCCAGACCCCAAGCACCCACTGGTGGACATTTCAGGTTGGATATACATGGCAAAACTCACAACACTCAACTGATCCAAGGGGTCACATCACTACACTTGGCAATTAACCTGCAGAATAAAATGAGGCAGAACAGCATTGCAACAAATAGTAGGATATGAACAAAGGCTGGATTGATCGTCCAAATATACACAGTCCCACTTGTGTTTCAGGGCCGCTTCCCGCCTGAAGTCAAGAAGAAAAAAGAAAAACCTGGGTTGGTTATTTAACAGCTACCTGCTATACAGCTTCCTGACATGGCTTCGGAAACATTTGGTGCTGATTATTGTCAGAGATAGGGCAGTCAGTTAGATGGGGTGTAGTCTGGCCATCGTTATATCCCATGATTCAGAACTGCACCAGAAGTCACGCAAAGGCTGGCCCAGTTTGACCAGAAACCTCAGGGAACATCTGAGTCATTGCAATTGGTGTCCCACATATTTAACAAAACCAAGCATGCATCTAGCCTGATGTAATCATCAGATAGACATTGAGAAAAACTGATTTCAGATCTAAGGCAAAAAAATATGTGCTACCTTTCTGGTACGGGGAGAAACCCCTCCTTTCTCTTCTTGTGGCCTCAAAGGGGGAAAAAAAAGGTGCATTTCACTACAAAAAAATAAAAGAGGGGTGCATTCATGGGAACATAGGACCCAATACATGACACCTACCCAAACTATCAGACGTGACAGTAGCTGAGCACTTGAGGTGAACATTGGGCATCCTTTACCAGGGGTATCCTGCCCTTGTGTCAAAAGTATCCATACAGATCATTCACTAATCTCCCCACAGTAAACCCTGACCTCTCTAGCTGATCAGCTGTAAGGCCAGGAAGGCTTAATAATATCACACGGTTTGACTTCCTGAATGACGCAGGTCCTCGAATCTTATCTCACGATTCCTACTCAAACTTGCGGCTTGACATCCTGGAAAGGGCCCAGACCTAACAATCTGACCGCTGCGGCTTATTTCCTTCTGGTTGAAGCCAGGTCTGGCTTTGCACCGGCATCAGGGTGAATTTGTGGTTTTCTGCAAGGAGATGTAAAAGGCAGCAAAAGGGATTTCAGCAGAGATGCTCACACCTTCTCCCGGACAGCGAAGTTCCTGCTATCCCCGGACAGACGAAGCTCAGGGGCCGAGGTGCCCCACAATATTCCCTAGCCTTCAAAACCACAGCAAGATCACATTTTCCCCCCCGTAAGCTATTCAGTCTCTTTCTGTGCTGCAAGTGCCAACAAGACAACAATGCAGGCAGCTGTCTCCTCTAGGAACCGGGTTGAGGGCAGCGAGGGCCACTCCAACTGGAAATTATTTTCATCTCATGTGATCCTGTCTTGGAGATCAACTGCAGAAATGGCAGTAGGAAGCCTTCCATTTAGCATCACCTGGCCCTTTTGCAGCTGTCGCATTCACAGCAAATGCCCGAGTAAGGGAAAGCCAAGTCCTTTAGTCAGGAAGAACATTAATGCAGGCTTAGATTTGTGATGGAGGGGTTACAAGTCCAAGTGCAAGTTTATTTTCCATTTCAGACACGCCTACAGACCATACAGAGCTGCCAGGTTGAAGGTTCGGGGGTCTTCTTGCTTAAGCTCTTGGTACGAACCCCTTTGCAGAAGAGAAGTGGAGGCTACTGCATTCATGCAGTGGGGATGCCAGATGCTCTCACATGGCTGCTGGATCAGTTAGGCCACTTGAGAGGCAGCTCCAGGACCAGGATCAAGGCTTTTCAGTTTTTGTTCTCATTAGTTTAAAACCACATTACGCTGAAGAGGCTGTGAGGATGGGAAGATGATCTGAGTGATGAGGGAGATGCGGGCTGAGAGACCGAGAGAAGGGGGCTCCGTGCCTGCCTCTGACATACCTCACTTCTCCTCTCCCTATGAGAAACCCCTGCTTGAAACATGGGAGAAAAGTAAAGCTTGCCAAAGTGACAGAGGGGCTTGGAAGCAATCTAGATCCTCGCTCGCTCCACCTTCAACAGATCTGACATTTCCATGGGAAGTACCTGGCAGTTTCTGAGACCAACTTAGCCTTGAAGCTGTCCCAGCTGCCTCCCTGGCTTCAGACTGAGGGGTGTTGGCAGGACACTTGGGGGAAGCCACCCTGCCTCTGCTTGGATGGTCCCCTTCCTGCGAGGCGATCAGCAGAGGGCTTAGGTTTCATAAGGATATAAGTACCCGTGCCCTGGGTCAGCCCATGGGGCCACCTAGCCCCGTGTCCTGTCACCCATGGGTGCAGAGAACGGATACCACAAGACAGAGCAGGTACGCAGGGCCTGTCCAGACTGATCCATCCCCTACCCCCCCTCCCTCTGGTTTGCAGCATTCGGTGGCCTAAAATGTGCTAATCTGCCCTCTTGGCCTACCCACATGAGGCTGGGATACCCCCAGAAATACCCCCAGCTACTGCTACATGTGTTGGGAGGGGTTTTAAGCTGTCCTCAAAGGCATTGCATGTTGGTTGCAGCCAAGGCTGGGGATTGTGACAGGGCTGTGCCAGTGCCCCTGGGCTTCATGGCTTGAGTTTGGGCTGGGACTTCAACCCG